TAGCCATGCCTTATATAGGAGAGAATGGAATGAAGAGGCCAGGGAAGTTGCTATTCGTGATGTAATTGATCGACTAGTGCGCCTGGCTGCGTTTCCGAATGATTTTAAAAGCAAGTCCCTGATTGGGACCAATTTTGGTTCCAGTCGGGGTACACTTTTTGGTCCAACTTTCTCCGAATTGAATTCCGTTTGCACCTTTGCGATCGGATAGTTAAACTCTATCCAACGATATAATTTTTATATTCATTCGTTATACTTTTTCCGACACCACATTTTTGGGTGTTTGACTTTAACAGAGTAAAAATTGGTTTAATTGACCTTTCTCATAAAAGGTTCTCTCATTTAATTCATATCAATTATTCTCATGATTTATTTCAACAAATCATTTCAATATTTACATTTTAAACAAATTCTTTATTTATTCTTGATTTGGGTCTGTACTCAGGTTCTCAATCAAGACCACACAAATAGTTCACATATTGGATTTATCTCTATGAGACTTATCCAGATTATGTTTATTGGATATCAATATATATTTTATTCAAGCCCAAATCCCAACAACAATTTATTTTAATCAAAACAAATTTTGTTTAATTGAATATTTAATTCAATAAATTTTAGGGTATATTTTGGGGCGTTACATCTGATCCCTACCAGTCTACTTGAGATTCAGTAACAGCTGAATTAACTATACAAGGATACACATTCCATGCTTTGTGTTAAATCATGACATTTAGGACAGAAGGATAATAATTATTGAACGTCTTGTGTCGTAGAAGGTATTGATGAGAAGAACGTCTTTTTCATAATCTGGGGGTAATAATGTGTTGCTAGATATCACTTATTATCTATGGTATTAATTTATATTAATATCATTGCCAGTGTTATGGATACCTAAAGGGTTACACACTTAGGACTTGTAAGGGAGTAGTATACTACACTAGTGAGAGTAATATTAAATATATAGTTGTGATAATTATATATATATATATATATATATATATATATATATACAGACACACACACACACACACATACAGACACACACACACACACACACATATATGTATGTATGTATTTCGAAAATACATATGTATTTTAAAATTATATTTTGTTTGTGTCATTTTAATTATATGATAATTATATTTTGACAAAATAAATCTTTATTATATATATATGTGTGTGTGTGTGTGTGTGTAGCGCCAAATTATTTATATGTATATATATATATTATTTTTTATTTTCATCATTTTAATTATATGATAATTATTGATGTAAAAATAAAATATGATATATTTTAAATATGGGATGACCAAAAATTTCAAAGGGAAAAATACAAGACAAAATTTGATTTTCTACCTAATGATATATTTGATTGATATAATCAAATATTTGATTAAATAAAGAATATTTGTCTTGTTGTGTTGGTTGGGGACATTACATTAATCCTATTTTGTTTTGTCCCTAAGTAATTTCCTAGCAATTCATAATGCAATGCATTATAAAATGAGAAAAATCCCTCCCCATTTTTAACACCTGATTTTTGGCCATAGAGAGAGAAAGGAGAGAAATATATTATTTTGTGTTCCAAGTTATTTTTTAAAGTGTTAAAATATACACAAAATATTATAAAGAAATATTTATAAGATAAATATTTTTACTATATATTTATTACTCCCAAAGTAGTATTATTATAGTTTTTACTATCATATATTAGACTTGCTAGCACAAGTTTAATTTAGGACTCCGGAGCAAGTTCGTGTGGATACGTTGGAGGCTTCATACGTTGGGCACTATGTTCATCTCCTCAAAACCATCCCGACCATTTCTCCGTTCTCCGTTTTTCACCGCTAAGGTAAATTTCTTACTATAGCTAGTAATTTACGTAAGTTGTTCTTGGGTGTAATCGAGTTTTGGACTCTAAATTTTTGTTTTCCGCTGCGTTATCCAAGCCTCGTTTCCCAACAGAAGCCCCGTAAGCCCGAAGGTAACTATATGACTGAGCAGGATGTTTTGCAGCGTCTTCCTTTCCTTTTGCAGCAGTATGGACTATTTGTGTCCGGGGGTGCTCTAGACTTTGCATCCATGTCGCAATGCACACCTTCTCTAGAACCTCATTATGGGCAGCGTAGTAGCAAGGCGTCTACATATTTTCTTGACTTCGCCGGTCTCCCTGATGTACAAATATTTTTTAATTTAGGTTTCAAATTCGGTTTACGTTTACTTGTTTCCGACATTAGTTAACTATTTTTTTGTAGGTTGCTGCTTGTTACTTGAGGATCTCTGATCCAGCCGATTATATAGTGGCACATGGATCGGTTTTCCCACGTGCACCGGGAGAGGTGGTGCACGACGTTCCCCTCCTTGTTGAAACACGGGTTTGTCACGTTTTTGTACTAAAGCCGTGTTCGTCTTTATGACAAGTTTAGATAATGCCAAACCGCCGAGAACGAGACAAGTCATTGAATATACAAGGCGAAGAACGAAGATAAGAACAAGAGCTAAAAGAAGACCAAGAACGAAGACCGTAGTCTTAGTATTGTTGAGTCGGTCACAATTGTGATCAAGACCGACCCAAACCTCACGCCTTGGCTCTTTAGGCTAAAATCTATTTTAACATTCATAATATCATAAAAATGTTTTTCAAACTTGTTCAAGACATTAAAAACACTTGTTGTTCGCCCAAACCAAAAACCAAGCCATCCGGCGTTCGGCTTTCAGAAACCGGCGTTCGGCATTCGGTTTTCAGGGTTGGTTTTTGGCGTCCGAACCAACCAAGTGGTTTTCAACATTTTATGATTTGTTCTTACTTTTTGGCATGTTTAAACAGTTCTCCAACAAAAACACTTTGAAAACTACCTTTCGCTTTTGGTCGTTTGAAAACTACCTTTCGCATCCAAACCACATTATTTTCCATAGCTTTCTAAAGCCAACTTTTGTGAAGTTTGAGTTGTTCTTGAGGGTATATATTTTACTCAATATCCACTCTTAAGGAGAGTCTTGTTCTTGAGTGTCTTAGTGTTGTATACACGTTAAGGGAAGCTTGTTTCCCTTGGTTATACGAAGGAAAGGTATTTTCCTTCGGGTTGAAGTCTTGGAGTGCGGTATCTCCGAGCAAGTGTTGTTGAGGCTCCTGGGACTCGAGTTCTCGGTTGTAACGGTTTGTTAAGAACCCGTAAGCTTAACGAAAGTAGTGTAGCTCAAGAGAGTCTCTCGGGAGACTGGATTAGCCACACGTTGTGGTGAACCAGTATAAATCTTGGTGTGCTCCCTTTACGCTTTCTACGCTCTTTACTTTTCACGTTCTTAATTTTTTATTCCTACGATGTCTACGATCAAAGGCTATTCACCCCCCCCCCCTCTAGCGTTGGTCACTTATTCTAACAATTGGTATCGGAGCCTAACTCGCGTCCAAACATAACCGTTTGAGAGTAAAAGCGATCATGGGTTCTTCTTCTAGAAATTTGTATGCAGGAATAGGTGAAGGGCAATCAACCACACGGCCACCTCTTTTTGATGGAACCAAATACATATTGGAAAGAACGAATGAGAATCTATATTCGTTCCACGAACATCCAATTATGGTTAGTTATCAAAAACGGGGAAGAGGTGACGATGAAGAAAGTCGAGGACAAATTGATCCCCAAGACCGAAGATGAATTTGATGCGGAGGACATCAAAAAGGTCGAGAATTATGCAAAGGCAATAAACATGCTTTATTGTGCCGTAAATCCTGATGACTACCGCAAAATCTCTTGCTGCTCAACCGCCAAGGAGATGTGGGATAAACTTGAGGTCACGTACGAAGGAACGGACCAAGTACGTTAAGCCAAGATCGACTTCCTCACCCAAGAGTATGAAATGTTTAGAATGAAGGAGCACGAAAACATCGACGACATGTTCGACCGATTCTCCAAGATAGTCAACGATCTTCATGCATTGAAGAAGACCTACACCGACAAGGATCTTGTGCGAAAGATCCTACGGAGCTTGACATCCGAATGGCGATCTAAGGCCGATGCCATCTATGAGTCAATCGACACATCAAATGTCACCATCGACGGTTTAAGAGGTAACTTAAAAACGTATGAATCTACTATACTTAACCCGTCTTTGAATGACCAGAGAAAAGGCATAGCATTAAAAGCCTCCAAAGAACCGACAATGAATGACTCAAGCGATGATGATGAAGTCAAGCTTGTCATGAAGAAGTTTTGCAAACTTCTAAGAAAGAAAGAAAAGGTTGGGGATGGCCCTGTGTGCTATGGATGTGGTGAAGCCGGGCACATCAAGAACAAATGCCCGAGAAACGGAAGGAACACTCGCCACTTCAAAAAGCAAAGAGCATACATCTCTTGGGGTGGCGACTCCGGCGACGAGTCAACCGACCAAGACGAGGATGAAACTGCCAACCTCTGTCTCATGGAACACGAAGACCAAACCGACAATGAACAAGAGGTATATATCATTTCTTCCAACTCTTACACTTTTGAAGAAATGCAAGAAGCGCTTCATGAACTTTATGATGAATTTGTTAGCGCTTCTAAAATTAACAAATCATTAAAGAAACGTCTTTTAACTCTTGAAAATGATGTTGAAAACTAGAAAAAGATAATGAAAAGCTAAAACAAGAAAATAAATTTTATGGCAAAAGAAGCGCTGACAAACCGGAAAGCTCTTCAAGTGAATGTGAATCTTGTAAAGCTTTAAAAGAAAAGGTTGCAAAACTTGAAAGTACGGTTAAGAAATTCAATACCCCACATAAAGATCTTAACTTACTCCTTGACACCATGCATTTTTCTAAGAAAGGACTAGGCTTTGATAAAAACGAATCTAAGGAAAGAAACACTGAGCAAACACCTAGACAACCTCCTAAGGCTCAACGTAAGAAATTTAAAAATCAGGATAATAGAAAATCTAGTCAACTTAAGGACACTAGACAACCTAGACAAAAACCTAGGAATGAAAATGTGCATGTTAGACAACCTAAGAAAAATTATCAAAATGATTTTGTGCATAAAAATAATTTTTCAAATAGAAAAAATAGTGCTAGAACACCCAGAAGGGAGAATTTTCAAAAACCAATGCTTTCGCAAAATAGGATGAATATGGTTAGACCCCCTAGCTATTATCAACCTAGGCATATGATCAACCCAAACGTAGTATGCCATTATTGCAATAGGGTAGGACATATAGCTCCCGTGTGTTTCATCAGACATAGGCACTTCACCTACAATGAAACACACAACGTATTTGGTGCTAATAAAAAGAAATCCTTTGGAAAAGGATATTCGAATCATAAACAATCTGCACAGGACAATGCACAAAAAAACCTTATTATTTCTTCTACTTTGACGAAAAGAAGAATGTCCACATTCCGTTACCGGAACCGACACAAATCACACCGAGATATCGGCACTCCGTTCAGGTAGATTGGAACCCGTCGACCACGAGACGATGGGTTGGGCAAGGTAACTCCTAAACAATCATCTAATCGCGTGAGTGTGTGTGTGGGGGTATTGAAACTAATTTTGGGTGTGTGTGTGGGCAATAAAGGTTAACTAACCCCCAAGGACCCATAGACATATTCTGGGTACCAAAGCGTTGCTTTTTTTGTAGGTACGGTTCGAAGTGAAGAAATCTGGAAACCAGGGGGAACCAGCGATGGGTGGGTTCATACCATCGATGGGAGGGAAGTTTATTTTTTTCAGAAACCCTCTTACCATCGATGGGAACTTCCTCCCATCGATGGGTGATTGACTCCATTTTTTTAAAACTTTTTAACGGATTTCCAGAAGTCCACTACCCATCGATGGTAACTTTGTACCATCGCTAGGTGAATGACTTTAGTTTTAAATTTTTTTTCAGAACCATCCTACCCATCGATGGGAACTTCCTCCCATCGCTGGGTGTTTGCCACTTTTGTTTAAAAATATTTTAACGGATTTCCAGAGACCACCTTCCCATCGATGGGAGACTCCAAACATCGCTAGGAAGGCAGCCTTGAACCTTTCTTCTCTTTCCAGTAGGCACCTTCCCATCGATGGGTAAATCTATACATCGCTGGGAAGGCAGCCATCTTTTCTTCCTCGCTTTCCAGTAGCGACCTTCCCATCGATGGGTAGATTCTACCATCGCTGGGAAGGCGGTTGTAGTTCAAAAATTCAAAGCCGTTGGGCACCACACTAATTGCCCAACAACCATATTTTTGAATCCAAACGGCCAAATCCTCCATTCCCTATATATTTCCATCATATTTGTTCATTCTAATACACCATTAACATCATACTTTCATTCCTTCATCCAAATCTACATAGTTCATCTCTCTTTCTTCAAAAGCATCTCCACTATGGCCGGAGGGAAGAAGACAAAGGCTTCCAAGAAGAAAAACACCGTCGAAGCCTCAAGCTTTGTGCCTAAACCATTCCCCTATCTCGATGGATCCTTCTTGGAGTTCGGGTCGGAGGAGGAACTCATCCGGTTCCTCACGCACTTTGCCAAGCGTCCTATTTCTCCGCCCAGGGTGCTGCTCGAGTTATACCCTCAAAAAAAGGGGTACCATGACCTCGACAATCAGCTTCAAGCATCGGGTCTGTGGTCGTTCGTCTCCAGGAGCCGTCAGTCCTACAATCCCGCCTTTGTCCGGGCCTTCTACTCCAATCTCTGCCGTGACGGGGACACCATCCGTAGCAGCATCAATCTCTACGACATACAGATTGATTTTCCTACCTCTGATTGGGTCGCAGGGCTGCCCATCCGTGGTGACGACATCGCGACATATGGTGGCGACGATTGGATCCTCAACAACGAGGCGGTCGTCATTCGTGAGCTTTTGGGATCACCAACTTGATCCGCCACAGTGGCGCGCCGACGATTCACTCAGCCCCACCGGACAAGCGCCTCCTCCTCTACAGCATCACCTGGATTCTTCGCCCCCGGGACAGCAGCCATACCTCGCTCTTCAACGAGGATTTGAAGGTGATTCATGCAATCATCCACGGCGCCTCCATCAATGGGGCAAAATTTGTCATGATACACATGGCAGATTGCGCCTCACTCGCCACCGAGCGGAGCTTGCCATACGCCTTCCTAATCATGGACATCATCGTCTCCGCCGATATCCACATCGCCGGGCCAGACACGAAGATAACGAAGCTTTGGATGATCGCCGACAGCACCTTCCGGAAGAAGTCCAGAAACAGAGACGGCGCAGGCCCAAGTCGTGCACCAGCCCCCGCTTCCGCCAAGGCCTCTTTGCAATCCATAGCTGATACCCTGAATCGGCTAACCCTCACAGTGGATGGCATGGGGCAGTCAATCGAGCGGATGGACTGGACGGTGCAACGCCAACACCACGACATGATGGCATACTTCCGTGGCATCAACTACGTTCCGCCACCTTTCGACAACACCATTCTCGGCCAAAACTTTGAAGGCGAGGATGAGGACGACGACTCTTACGCTCCGTCCTCCTCCCCGACGAGGCCGACTTTGAAGATGCGGTCAACGGCGATCCCATGGACGTCGAGGACGACAAGGACACCGACGCCGACTCCTAGAATCTTCTTTCTTTTAATATGATTGTATTTTTTTCCATTCCGTTGTATTCTGCATTTCCCTTTTAATGAATAAAAATTACTTTTAAATCTTTTTGTTTACGTCAAAAGGGGGAAGATATAAAGGTTATGCATTAATTGAGGGTGAATTTTTTTTCTCAAACACTTTTTTAAAAATCGAATTATATTTATTAAGGGGGAACATTTTTTTAAATAATCCTCCTATGCATAACCTCGTCTTGTTTGCCATTATCAAAAAGGGGGAATTGTTGAAACACGGGTTTGTCACGTTTTTGTACTAAAGTCGTGTTCGTCTTTATGACAGGTTTTGATAATGCCAAACCGCCGAGAACGAGACAAGTCATTGAATATACAAGGCGAAGAACGAAGATAAGAACAAGAGCTAAAAGAAGACCAAGAACGAAGACCGTAGTCTTAGTATTGTTGAGTCGGTCACAATTGTGATCAAGACCGACCCAAACCTCACGCCTTGGCTCTTTAGGCTAAAATTTATTTTAACATTCATAATATCATAAAAATGTTTTTCAAACTTGTTCAAGACATTAAAAACACTTGTTGTTTGCCCAAACCAAAAACCAAGCCATCCGGCATTCGGTTTTCAGAAACCGGCGTTCGGCATTCGGTTTTCGGTGTTGGTTTTTGGCGTCCGAACCAACAAAGTGGTTTTCAACATTTTATGATTGGTTCTTACTTTTTGGCATGTTTAAACAGTTCTCTAACAAAAACACTTTGAAAACCACCTTTCGCTTTTGGTCGTTTGGCAAAAACCACGCTAAACGGTATAAACTTGGCTAGCCGTGGTTTTTACTCAAATGACGTGGTTTTTAAAGTGCCTCACTTGATTTCTAAGCAAAACACATCAAATAAGTGTTTTAAACACTTGGTTTTTATTTTGGAGAACTTTGGATTTTTCAGTCGGTTTTTGCATCGGTTGGCTAGGCCGTGGTTAAGGCAAAAAACCATGGGTTTTTGGCTAACCACCCACCCAGCGATGGGAAGAACTTCCCATCGATGGGTAGGCAGTCCTTCAGCCTAACCAAGTTCCAGAACCATGCCAAACAGTGATGGGAAGTTTTACCCATCGTTGTTAAAGCCTTGGTCCAACATCTTCACAAGGCAGATCGACCTTACCCAGCGATGGGGAACCTATCCCATCGATGGGAACACAGCGATGGTAAGGGTAAACCATCGATGGGAAGGCATGACTGTTGCAAGTCATTTAAGGCTGATTCTTTCCTTGTTTGAAAGTCAACCTTCCACCCAGCGATGGGAAGCATTTACCCATCGATGGGTAGGTGATCGTTGGCTTCAAAACTGAAGGAAAATTGGCTTAACAGCGATGGGTGAGTCCAAACATCGATGGGGAGCCAATATCCTGCAGATCCCAATCACCCCTTTAATGTATTGGTCCGTTGGAGCCTATTTTGGCACTATAAAAAGGGGTGTTTGGGTCTGCTTTTCTGATCAATTCACTTCACAATATTCATATTGTTAGAATAAAGGCCCAACGCTAGAGGGGGGTGAATAGCGTTTAAAACAAAATCGTAGGAAATTAAGAATGAGAGTGATAAAGTAAAGAGCGTAAGGAAGGAGCACACCGAATTTTATCCTGGTTCACCACAACGTGTGGCTAATCCAGCCTTTCGAGAGACTCTCTCTAGTTACACTAACTCCGTTAAGCTTAAAGGTGCTCAACAAACCGATACAACTTGAGAACTCGAGTCACACGAGCATCAACGCCTTTGCTCGGAGATACCGCACTCCAAGACTTCTCACGAAAGAATGAAAGACTTCCTTGGAGTTTACAACAAGGGAACAACCTCCCTTAAAGTGTATGAAAACACTTAAACACTCAGGAATAAAAACTCTCACAAAGAGTAGATATGAGTGAACTAGTAAACGCTCAAGAACATGACAATTTCTTCAAGAAATGGCTCTCAAATAGCTAACAAAAGATAGGAATGCTTATGCAATGAAAGAGTATTGAAATGTTGAAGAATTTGGTGTAAAATGAGAGGATTTGGGTGCCATTTTATAGCTCAAAATGGGATAAACCCGTTGCTAGAGTTTCCAACAAGATGAAGACAAATTTTTCAGAGACACAGGCTGATAGTCGATTATCCAAGCTTGATAATCAATTATCAAAAGATTCTTTGTCCAGATAATCGATTGTCAACAAGTGATAATCGATTATTGGTCCTCTCAGAAGATTCTAGGTTTTGGCTGCAAAGACTGATAATCGATTATTACATAAGTGATAATCGATTATTGCGTGCTTCAGAACTTTGGAAGTTCAAAGCTGCAGGGGCTGATAGTCGATTGTCACTAAGGTGATAATCGATTATCACCCAGCTAAAGTCTAGCCAGCTGAAACCCGTTTTGAAAAACCGAGGTCCAAAAACGAAGTGTTCCCAAAAGTAAAAACCAAGTTTGAAAAACATTGTATATGGCATAAAATAGTGAAAACAAGACTTGTTCGGTAAAAAACCAAGTTTCTAAGGTCATACATCACGTGCGTACAGTTTTGACCGTTTTTCACGTGTTAGACCGATTGACCAAGATACAAAAGTGGTTTTTATAAAATAATTATTTGAGAACATTTTAAAAATGCTCAGAGGTAAAAACAGGGTTTAAAATATTGAAAACCATAGAGTTGGTTCGAACGCCAAAAACCAAATGCCGAAAGTCGAACGCCGAAAGCCGACTTAGGTGGTTTAGGTTCCGAGCAAGGACCAGGGATTTTAATCAATAAATAAAAAAAATCATCAGAAATATTTATTTTGATGCACAAAAAAATATTTTATGATTTGTAAAAATTGTTTTGACTCTTTGAGAACCGAGACTTGAATTTATTGTCGGTTTTGATCACAAAAGACCGACTCGACTAAGTCTTCAATTCTTGATCTTGTCCTTGAGTCTTTTTGGTCTTGTTCCAAGCCATTCTTCACGCCTTGAGTTATTCAACGAAAATCTTCATATCCACGGCGGTTTGGCAATTATCAAAACCTGTCAGAAATGAATACGACGTTAGTTTATCGTACAAAGTGTGTTCCAACACATATTATCATTGCATCCAAACCACATTATTTTCCATAGCTTTCTAGAGCCAACTTGTGTGAAGTTTGAGTTGTTCTTGAGCGTATATATTTTGCTCAATATCCACTCTTTAGGAGAGTCTTGTTCTTGAGTGTCTTAGTGTTGTATACACGTTAAGGGAAGCTTGTTTCCCTTGGTTGTACGAAGGAAAGGTATTTTCCTTTGGGTTGAAGTCTTGGAGTGCGGTATCTCCGAGCAAGTGTTGTTGAGGCTCGTGGGACTCGAGTTCTCAGGTTGTAACGGTTTGTTAAGCACCCGTAAGCTTAACGGAAGTAGTGTAGCTCGAGAGAGTCTCTCGGGAGACTGGATTTGCCACACGTTGTAGTGAACCAGTATAAATCTTGGTGTGCTCCCTTTACGCTTTCTACGCTCTTTACTTTTCACGTTCTTAATTTTTTATTCCTGCGATTTCTACGATCAAACGCTATTCACCCCCCCTCTAGCGTTGGTCACTTATTCTAACAATCCTTCCCCACCAGGTTAAGGTCTCTATGACCCTTGTGCTTCCTGGAATGGGTGAATATATCATTCATTGTCCGACTGAGCATATAGAGACTGTCGCAGATTGCGAGGGGAGCTTGAATGCATGGCCAAAGTCGTTGGTGAGCCTTGGAGATGTAAGAAGTAAATAAATTTAGCTCTTTTTTATTCAGCATCATTTGGGCTGTGTTTCACATTTTTTTTGAAAATATTCGTAGCCCCCGGTGCACACGGCTTGACATGCCGACTTCTCATCAAGCAAATCTCGTCATATTCTCGGCGTACGCCCCACTGCTCCTTCTAGCTCTCCCGTACAGGATGTTGTTGACCGGAGCTCATACACCTCTTTCGGGCCGATGTGCAGAGAGTTGTGTCAGTGGCTCACACGCACATCTGCTTTGCCTACCATCAACGTCATTCTCGATCCCAAGTGCATGCTCTATCCGGAGGAGACAGAGCTGAGGATGCGTCAGGGGAATATATGGGATTTCATGCAATGGGAGAAGGTCGATCAGACCATCATCATTGTTTTCTTGAGGTATGTCAAGCACTACGTACGAATAAATTACTATTGTAAATTATACTCTCTCCGTCCGGAAATATTCTTCCCATTTGACTTTTCTTGGTCAAAGTTTGTAAACTTTGACTATGATATGTGGAAAAAATACATTGTATTACGATATAACTTTAATATGAATATATTCATTTTGAAATATAGTTTTCAAATATCAAATTTTTATAAACTATATCCATGTATAAAAAAGATATTAGTGGTCAAAGTGCAATCTTGGAGACCGTAAAAAGTCAAATGGGAAGAACATTTCCGTACGGAGGAAGTAATTATTTGTTATAATTGTAATTATTATTTACCTCTGAAATTACTAGATTGTTGCACGATCATATGATGGAGCATGGCATCACGACTGTCGGGTTGTTATGTCCGGAGAACATGGCATACGTGGTAGATTTTGGAGATCGCCAGTATCTGAATAGAGCACTCGTGTCCTATCAATCGCGACCCTGGATACTTATGCCGTTGTATCTATCGAAATCGTATGTTTTCTAAACCATTTTCAATATGTATTTTGGTTTTTTATATTGATTATTAAGTTAATGACTAATGTTTTTTCAATTGTAGGCGTCATTGGGTGTTAGTTGTAATACGTTTGTTTGAAAACAAAGTGTATTTCCTGAACTCAATCAAGGCGACCAGAGGGCATAAGCCAATGAAAGTGAAGACTTTCGTCAACGAGTAAGTATTAAGAAATTTATTTCTTATTAATGAAATTCTTTATTTTTTAAAATATTTATTTCTTATTAATTGTTTTTTAATGTATTAAAGGTCTTGGTGGTTACTTCGGGAACGACACATGCCTCAACTTAAGGCTCGACCAGATTGGATTGATGTTCCCGATGTACCCCAACAATTAGGGGGCTCATCGTCACTATGTGTGCACAATGTTATTTACTTTTATACGATGTAAGTTTATTTTAGTGTGTTTTTGAAAGTAATGAAGTGTTTATCATCATTTTCTTTTTCATAGATTATTAAACTTTATGTTGTATGTTGTTTTCGTATTGCAGGTGTTTCAGTCTACTTCGCCCTATACCGTAGCCGAATTAAAAGAGGTTAGAGAGTTTTGGGCGGGGGGTTTTCTCGATGAACTAGTGTAAGTTTTGTATTGTATTGTATAGTATTAGTTGTATGTTAGAAGAGTGTAGATGTTTGACTCTTAGTTGTGGTGTTAAAACATAGTTTGTAAATGTTGATATTTTTTAAGATGTACAAGTGATGGATGCAAATATTTACTTTTTTGGTTTAATTTGTTTTGTGGCATTTGGCTTTTGTGAATGTATTTGTGTTCGTTGTTGGTTTGTATTAGTTGTTGTTGTGTTGATGGGTTGAATTGTTGTTGTTGTTGAATCTGTATATTTTGCACACAATTCTGTGCAAAATTGGCGCTATTTCTGGGAAGAGGCTTTTGCATCGGTTATTACCAAATAACCGATGCAAATGCCCCTTCCCAGAAAGGGCCCCATTTTGGGAAGAGGCTTTTGCATCGGTTTTAACAACCGATGCAAAAAGTAACCTGAGCATTTGCATCGGTTCAAAACCGATTTAAAAGGGTTGTAATTAAAGCTGTTTCTAATTAATCTGGTCAGATCTAATTTGATCTGATTTCATCCAATACAGATTATAATAAAAACAAGTTATAGACAAAAAATAATAACTTGAATGGTACTAAGAGCCTGTTCTTTAGGGCTTGAACTCTTAACTTCCAGTTTTCTAATTTCTTCCAATTTCTTCCAATTCATTCGAGTTTCTTCAATTTTCCTTCCTGTTTCTTCCAGTTCTTCCAACTATTCTCATTTTCTTCAAACTCTTTCTACTACCCAACCAATTACTCTAAAAACGATATATTTTTAATTTGATTATTATTATTATTATTATTATTATTATTATTATTACAACTGTTATGTCCATAACTATAGTTTATAAAATATTTTTTTCATCTCACTATTTTTACGATTCACACTCATTATTTTTTTCTTCAACTTTTTAATATGAATAAGACAATCTTTTGTATATTAATCTAAATGATAAAACAAGAAAACATCAATATGTTAAACTATATTAAAAAATTATGGATAAAATAGTGACATAGAATGTTTTATTAATCTAGCTATATTTAAGACCTCTCACCTTTCCTTTTATAACTTAAAATTTTCTAATTTTTCTAATTTTTATAAAAAAATTTAAAGTCTAAATAGTTTATAGAAAAATACTAAAATAGGAGTAAGACATAAAAAATGTAAAAAAAAGTTCTATGTCTTTATTCCAAAAATAGAACTTTAATGAAAATAAAATGTCAATAATGAAAGAAAATATAGGTTTGATTACATTATGTGAAATTTCTAATATTTAAAACAAAATCTTGTAATATATAAGGTATAATTACAAATATATTATTTATAATAAATACTACATAAATAAATTGAGATGCAACGTAACAATAAAAACGTTTTAAAATTTAATATTTTTTTTATTTATGCTAACTTTATATTATAATTATTTTTTTTGCAAAAAAAGTTTTTTGTATTTAAAAAATAACAATATTTTTTTGTATCTTAAAGACATTCATTAAGATAACGTGATGATAATGATGATGATTATGATGATGATGATGATAATAATAATAATAATGATGATGATGATGATAATAATGATAATTTATAATAACAAGAATTTAAAATAATTTTTTAAAGTTTTTTTAGGATTTCTAATTTTTTGAAGTTTTTCCAGTTTTTTTAGTTTTTTCAGTTTTTTTTGTTTTTTCTAGTTTTTTCAGATTCTTTCAATTCCTTCTAGTTTCTTCCAGTTTTTTCAATTCCTTCTAGTTTCTTCCAATTTTTCCAATTCCTTCTAGTTTCTTCTAGTTTATCAATAACATCAACTCTTTTTTTCCAGTGATAAATAACATTATCTAAGCGTGTACAAAAATGTAGAAATGAAGATAGTAATATTTTCTTTACCAACGCCGCCGCCTGCTCCGGAAACCCTATCGGTTCTTAAACCCTGCATCTCAAGAATTAATACCTTTGCACCACGAACAGCAACAAAATCTTGCTAGACAAACGGCATCTCAAGATGGGTATACCTAGCTTCTACCGATGGGTGCTCGATAGGTACCCTCGTTGCGTTGAGGTGGCTGTAGAGGAAACTCCCACCGTCGTCAACGGCGTTACCGTTCCAATTGATATCACCGCACCGAACCCTAATCGCTATGAATTCGATAATTTATATCTCGACATGAATGGGATTGTACACCCTTGTTTTCATCCAGAAGGCTTGGTAAATACACACATAGGCATACTTATCCTCGCTTTCCTCTTGATTAGTTCTTGTTTTCGTATTCACAAGAGTGTTTTGGTGTTGGTAGCCTCCCCCAGAGACCTATGATGCAGTGTTTATGGCGGTATTTAAGTATATTGATAAGATCGTTACGGTCATCAGACCTCGGAAGCTTTTATTTATGGCTATTGGTTAGTGATCTTTTTTATTTCATTTATGACAATACGCTTTGATTATTAGAAGTAGCAGCTATGTGATCAAATTACCCAAAGTAGGTTGGCCTTGCTGGTGTTTCTTTGTTTTGGAGTTTGTTTAATCTGAAGCTGCAAACTTTAGCATTTTGTTCATCTTGCATTTTTCTTTTAAGTTCGCAGATTTTCTGAACATTTGTTTGAAACCATATACTATGCTTTAGAACATTCTTTGTATGTATCATAATGACACCGAGAACTTTTTTGTTTTGATATGCCTCCAGATGGAGTTGCGCCACGAGCCAAAATGAATCAGCAGCGGGCAAGGCGTTTTAGAGCTGCTAAAGATGCAGCTGATGCGGTAAGTGTTACAGGATATCATTTTTTAAAAGACCATCTACAAGTAATTTTCTTGTATAAAAAGATTGAAAGTTGTTTTACTATCAGGCTTCTGGAATAGAAAATATGAAGGGGTCCAATGGGGAAAATTTGGATGCAAGAAGACTGGATTCTAATGTAATCACACCTGGAACTGAATTCATGGCTATGTTGTCGTCTGCGCTACAATACTATGTAAGGATAAGGATGAATGAGGATCCAGGATGGCAGGGAATCAAGGTTGTAGTTTTATTTTGGCAACTTATGCAATTGCTGTGTTTCTTTGTTATTGTAAAGAACTCTTCTATTTCCTGAAATTTGTTCTGTTATCATGGCATTATATTCTTCAGGTTATTCTCTCTGATGCTACTGTTCCTGGTGAAGGAGAGCATAAGATAGTGTCGTACATTCGTTTGCAAAGGAATCTGCCTGGGTTTGATCCTAATACAAGGCATTGCTTGTATGGATTGGTAAAATCGATGCCTAGTTTTTACTCCCTCCCAAACATATTTGTGTCTAGTTCGTTGTATTAATGTATTATATAAATTTGCTTACTATTATATGTCTAATATAAGAGTTGCTGTTGTAGGACGCAGACCTGATCATGCTTGCGCTGGCTACCCATGAAGTTCACTTCACAGTTCTAAGAGAGGTACACATTATATCGGCTTTTCAATGGTACGGTTGTGCAGGGAATACTATCAAAGTCGTTGGAGTTCAATAATACCTTGATATGGGCTAATGTAGGATGTCTGCAAAGCAGAGTCCAATAATAGGCATTTAAAATATGTGAAGCCCTTCCATGGTTCACAATTTGGCGAGGAGTTTGAAAAGTTCATATCAGAACAGAAGTTTCAGGTTTGTAAATCTTCCATTTCACTTCCTTTTTCCTACTACTTTGGATCTTTTAACTGTGTGTGTATGTGTATTATATCCTTGAATCTGAAACATCTCTCATTTTCCAGCTTTTCAGAATATGGGTACTCAGGGACTATCTAGCTCACGATTTACAAATACCCGATTCTGCATTTAAGATAGACCTAGAACGAGCAATAGATGATTTTGTATTCATGTGTTTATTTGTTGGGAATGATTTTTTACCACACATGCCTTCATTGGAAATATCCGAGGTTTGCCTTCTCTTAGTTCTAGTTAGTGTTGCTCATTTATGGTTCTTTGATTTAGAATATCTACTTTTCCCTAACCTCCTTCGTATGGTTTTATTTAGGGGGCAATTGACTTGCTAATAAATGTTTACAAGAAATATCTACTTTTCCCTAACCTCCTTCGTATGGTTTTATTTAGGGGGCAATTGACTTGCTAATAAATGTTTACAAGAAGGAATTTGTCCAAATGGGTGGTTACCTCACTAATTCTGTCGAGGTATATTTGTCAAATTTGTCAAGTAGCCTACTAACTCTTCTAGGTAGTTTGTCTTTCATCTATATGATATTTTTCATACTTATCTAAGAGATAGTGATTTCGGCACCTTTTTGCTCATGGCTCGTACAGGTTAATTTGAAAAGGGTGGAACATTTTATACAAGCTGTTGGTTCGTATGAGAATATAATTTTCAGAAAGCGTATACAGGTTTTATTTATTTGAATTTGTAGAGTTATTGAAGCATTACAAAGTTGTTGGTCCAAGCAAATGCAATACAATTAATGCATGATCTAGTGAACTCCACTTCCATATTTTGAACAATTTGATTGATTCAGGAAAAAAAGAAATGGGGGAGGTCAATGCAACATCGTTCAACTAATGTGAGTATGATGCTGTGTTATCATTCAACTCGATTGTGAATTGTTGGCGAATAAAGGACTTGTAATTGAATTTTAAATTGAATATCATGTAATTGCTGTCTAATTAGTCAGATCCTAAATGGAATCCAAATAAAAGCCCTGCAAATTACAAAGCTGTTGTGGAGCATGAC